TTTTTTTCATAGCTTCAATTCCGATTTTCTTTGCATTAACAACATCTGTGGACTTTGCTTTCATACCAGTTGCAATATTTATCAGATCATCCTTGTTTGTACAAGTAAATGGATTGATCATATCAGCATTAATCCTGTTCTTCATTTTCATAACAATGTTAAGTTCTTCAATGGATAAATTACTTGAATCGCCATGATGACTGGAAGTTGAATGTTGCATATTCACCATTGATTTAATGTTTTCAGAAACTTTTGTCATTACTGGAGCAGATTTGATGTACTTCTCACGTGCAGCAGGGTTCTGTGTTGTTATTCCTTTCAGTAGAGACGTCTTTCCCTCTTTGTTGTATGTCTGCTCCAGGGCAAGGTCACTCTATACCCCATTGAAGATTCCTTCTGTCCGATGGACTGTAAAATCTCCTTCCAGAAATCTCTGGTGTACCTCAGGAAATTTGTCGGACAATTGTGTCATTTCTTGGAGATATATAGGAAGGCATATCATATAATTTTGATGTCTAGAGCTCACAATGTATGGGATCATATTCTGCACCTCCTTTAAAGGTTTCCTCCAGTTGAATGACCTCTCAGCATGAATATACCGTCTTAGAATTAACACCATGTCCAAGTACCATTGCCAGAATCTTGCTGTTACACTTAATTGTTCCTCATATTCACCCCACAGTACCATTAACTCTTGTAATGTTTCTTTAACTCCATGTAATTTAGTTGTAGAACCACTAGTGTCTTTTCTCTCCATACAGTTCAGCAGGTTGTTTGCTTTGTCTGACAAACTCGCAAGTGATATTTCCTAATCTTTTTCCATTAACCACTCTTCAAATGCTTCCCATTTCAATCTCATTATTGCTTCACTGACTAGCGAATGGCATTTCAACATTTGATAGTAATCTTTTCCATTTAAGATCTTGTTAACTGTGCCCCTACCAAATATACCATTTGTGAGTAGGACTTCTTCGAAACAACTGGCCTTCATGAAGAATCCAATAGTAATAAGAACCCATAAAATTCTCAGCTATATGAAAACTCCCAAGTCGCACTACAACATTATTATATTTCTGTGAGCATTTCTTCTTTATTCCTTGCACAATATCATATATTGCTTGATCGCATGTGACAACTGTGCATTCCTGACCCATTCTTGTTGTAAAACTGGTGAAATAATCCAGTGAAGTTTGAGCAATCTCTGGATTTGTTGGAGACTCTGAGACTATTGGTCCATATCCAATAATCGTTCTAGCAGATTTCTTACCGATTAGTATCTCATAAAAGGAGTTCCATGTTGGGGGAGTTATTTCTCTAGTATCATCTCCAAGTAACAACTGCCCTGTTGGTAGCATTCGCAGCAGATACCAAACAATGTCATCACTGCACAGATCTGTGCCAGTTTCTGAGGATAGGTGTGAATAGAGCAGTGGAATGTCGGAAAGAGATCTTCATGTGGCATTCTGCAGGATGAAAATCAACAGGATCATGGAGTGTTGTTTTTCTGCCTTTTGGTAGAGGCACCGTGGGGGATCAGAACTATGTATTTCTCCAGTATACTGGTATATATTGTGCGTTGTTGCATGCAAAGTCTTGCCATCTTTTGTATTTTCATGAAAGTCTAAATTATCAAATGCACAGTGCATGAAAACACCTTCACTAATATTAGAAGGGATAAACAAACCATTTCGTTCTACCTGCTCTTCAACTGAATCTGCTATAGCAGCAACATATCGCTGAGCATCTGAATAACTTGTAGTATTACCAAATCTATTGAACATTGTTAGTAGCTTCTTACTCCTCGTTTGCCTTAGTACGTGGAGTGCAAGTCCTACATGCTTTGGCATTGCAATGGAGGTGTTTGCTGCCATGACATCCTGTGCCAAATTAAGGACCTTCTTTTTAGTTCATTTGTGAGTAACACTCTACCATCTGTTCCAGTTGTTGCTTCTGCACTGCTTACCATCCATGCAAGGTGGTTGTATAACTCTGCTGGCACAATTGTGTAGGCTTGCTTATAGGAAATGTCTAAATCATTTTCAGATGTAGTAGATGACGTAACATCAATTTGTCGGCGTCTGTTACTGTGCTCTTTTGCTTTAGACTTAATAGCACTCTTCAGGTATTTGGCTGATGCATAAGAGTCTGCCTTGACAGTTTGAATCTTTTGAATGCCTTCCTCATCACTACTGGTATCAGACTCTGGAATCAGCCGTGTTTCATCAAGTTTTTGTTTTAACCTTGCAGTCATTGAACACAGTTCTTGAATTGTAATATGGGAAGCACATATCAGACTTGACATACCCTTTTGTGTCAACACCTGCACATCAGATCCAAAATGCTTCAAAATTCTCTGCTGCAGACTTTGACTTCTGTATGTATGTGCATTTTCTACACCATTTTCAGAAAGAATTTCACGATATCTATCTCTTAGTTGTGTCATGTAGTAAACACCACCCTCAGTTAATTTTTGCGTTATTTCTGAGATCAGCATTGGAAACGCTGCATCATGATCTGATTGCTGAACATTAACATTTTCAGTAGTTCTTTTGCAACGCCTATTCATAAAATCATTCATACATGATCTATGGTATCTAAAGTCAGCTGCAATCATATCAGTGTGATATGTGCCACCATGACCTTGAATTTTTTGGAGAATTGTTTCGTCATTTAGTTCCTTTGCCTTCTGGAAAATTTAATCTTGACGCTGTTTAGTTGCAATTAACACAAGAGTATGTTTTCCTTTCGAATCTCGCTCCTTTTCACATAAGAAGCACACCACTTTATAATTTAGAGGAGTATCTTTTCTTAGTGTTGTCCTGTACCCTGATGCTTCAGAAAGCATCACATCTTCAGATACCTGTTTAGATCTTTTGGCCGCAACCTCACAAATAGCTCTTTTATGAGTATAGCTACTACGACATGACCTGTGACACTTTGGTTTTTTGAGAGAAACTGTTCATGTTCCTGTACAAGAGGCCACAATCTTTCAAAAACATCGTCTTTTCGTTTTTTTCATAGCCTCCTTTAAGGTTACCAGACCCTTTTCTGTGATTTTGTTCAATGGATCAGCTTTCTGGGCTTGGCATAGTATGCATTTAACAAAATCAATGTTCTTGTTCAAAGACCGTTTCAAAGTGAATACTGGCTCCATAATTCTATATTACAAAAACAATCCCTAACCGGAAATAAACAAGCTATGTATTAGTGAAATCAGAATGTTATGATGTGTTACAACTGTACAGTTTTTTACTAAGAATAATTTATTTTACTGCCATTTAAATAATAATAATAATAATAATAATTTGTGTAGATAAATAACTGACAATAATTTATAATAGTCTGTAGTTTAATTACATAATAATTAATTACATGTAACTGTAATCAACTTTTTTTCTGAATCATACCAACTCAAGAAAAAAAATATTAATAAAATCAGAAAATTCTTTTTTGAATTAATAAGCTCGTTTAATCTAAACATATTGTTTTATATGGTTACTAAAAAATATAAATTATTTCTATATACCCATAGTCGGTTGACATTTCTATCTGTCCAATACTAAACCAAGAAATGTTGTTTCCTATGAAGTTTTTTTTATTGATTTACATTCATATGGGACCAAAGAACAATTTTAGCTTGGTTGCCAAAATTGCAACATTGGGCAACTCTGCTAATTTGCATAATCCAAGATGGCCACCAAACGTCATCTGGAAAATTAAACTTTTGACCCGTTTGTTCTAGAATAATGTGCAATACCTCTTTTTAATGGTTTTTCTGTGTATACAATCTATTCCTGGTGTTATTTTGCTGGTTAATCTCATGTGTGAAAGCCCAGGGCGAAGCTTAGGTTAGAACACAAAATAAAAATAACAAATTTATCAACATTCATAATTAACTTTATTCATGTTTTCTTTCTGTGAAATCTGTAATTACATGACACAAAAATGGTATTCATAATAAGTGTAAAATAACACAATAAGTAGATAGTCTTAATCTTTTATATCTGAAATTAAAAATCTGTATGCTCCCACTCATTATCAGGATCAGAAAGACTACTCTCCACATCTTCCTGTTCCGCATCATCATCAAAATCTTCCTCAGCATCCTGGTCTACATTATCCTGAAAAGTCTCCATGTCTACACCCACTTCGTCTGTAACTTCAACATCTCGTCTGTTCGTGTATGGATTGCAGCAGCCATATTCACCAGAGCAATTACAGTATGACGTGCACGAAAGATGTTCTTTGTGGCAGCCACATGCCTCAGTGATACATTTTTTACCTTGTGCTTTGCATTGACACTGAATCACATCAATTAGTTCTGGCGGTACTGGGTCACCCTTAGCACTGACAGGAACTGGGGTACTCTCCTGGATCTCCCATCCAAATTTTGTGATATCAGCTGACTCAACAGGTGGAACTTGATCGTCTGCTGCTTTCCACAACATCACTTGTAAATGAGGCCCTTAAAACATGCTGCAAGAGGTTGGGTGTCGTTGGAGGAAGTG